GTTCCTTCTGACCTCGACAGGCTGGCCTGGGGTCGCTGTCCTCGGGACTCAAGTCTCTCCTCTTATAACGGAGGCTTGGCCTGACTCCATGCCCCTTGCCACATTCTCTGCAATCGCCCACTCAGCCCCTGTCCCTGTTCCAACTACCTAGGACCGTCAGCAAGACGCCCTGCTGACATGGCCAGCATAACCATACCCTGTTAATGGCCCCAGCCCCTTTCTCCCTGTCAGCACCCCAGCTTCACCAGCTGGGTCATGGAACCACCTAAGGGCTCCCCATATCTCCTTCCCTGGATTCCCTTGCATACTCATCACATCGTCAGTCTCCTTCTCTGGAAGACTGAAGGCCCCTTGAAGACATGGCCCCCACACAATACCTCGACTGTCTCTCCCAGTAACCAGCACAGTGCTGGGCCCATGAAGGGGTTGAATAAATGCTTATGGAATTGAATTGTAACTTCTCTCTGAGCCACCAGCATGCATTCTAGGCTGTACCGGAACAGAAACCTTTTCATTTCATGAGTGATTCTGATGGTGTGGACAGGCACAGAATTCAGAGTGGCACAGTAGGTTAAGCATTGGACCACAAGGTCGGTGTTTCAGACTTACCAGCTGCTCCTCAGAAACCCTATACAGGGTTGCTATGAATCAGAAATGATTCAACTACACTTAACTTACTCATTTATTCGGTAGACTCACCTTTCCACCACCCATTGTGTTCCTCCTTCCTCACCTTGTATCCAGAGAAGTTGGGAACCCCTGGAGAGTGGGACTACAAATAGATCCTTCCCAGAGAAAGCACAGAGACTGGTACCAGATGGCCATGCTTGGCTGCATGCATCCTATGTAGCAGTTTCTAAGTCAGGGTGCACAGAGATGTCTCTAGTCATCGCTCCCTCTGCCATGCAGACATTGCTAATCAATCACAGCACTCCTCTCACAGAATCCAGAAGAGGCTTCAGAATACACATTAGCTCAGTGCTGGATGATTCAGCCCTGTGCTAAGAAATGGATTCTAAGAACCCAAATTGCCGTTGGTTTTGTGTTGCTGGCCTGGAGGGTCTAGAGTTTGCAAAAGAGTCTAAAAATGAAAAGAATTTGAAGTAGAGAGGGATTGTTGTCAAGAATGGAGCCTTTAGAAGTGACTTGTCCTATCTAAGATTATGTATTGCTTTCATTTAAAAAAATATGTTGAATTTTTATTTTAAAAATGCCATAGAAAAATCCTGAACAAAAGGGGGCAAAATACAGAACAGAATTTCAAAATTTTCATGAAATCTAGACTTTCTGGAGCCATTGAACTGGATGAACCCCTAAAACTATTGCCCTAAGATAAGCTTTACATTTTCAACCAAATGTTTTCCCTGAAGCCGTCTTTAAACCAAATCACTGTTTTAACTAGTAAAAAATGTCTGCCTTGAGCATTGTGCTTTTTTATTAACTACATAGGGTCACATTGCCGACGGCAACTAGAGGGTTAAAGAGCAATCTGGGGATGGGCACTGAGTGATAAGTATGTCCAGGAAGGATGATCTGTTTGGCAAAAAAGGTTGGTAATGGTGCATAAGTCAGAAGAACACAGCCAATGTCATTGAATTGTACATGGAGAAATGGCAGAATTGGTGTATGTTTTGCTGTGTATATTCCCAACCACAGTGAAAAACTTTTAATAAAAAATACATATGTTCAGATCCTACTATGTGCCTGTTTGGGGCGGGGAAACTTTAGTGCATCAGATTCTGTAACAAGCTACAGAA